ACCCACGTCAATTAGAAACTGGTAACATTTTCCATGGATTATACTGGGTAATGTCTCTCTGTGTACGAAATGCCACCCTAGGAAAAGTTCCCGTTGCGTCTCTGGACATCCAGCGGGCCATATCTGACGGAGAAGTCTTAGCTTAGCAACAAGACCACACGGAAGAAGCACAGCAGCCTGGGACCAGGTAACAGGCATCAGAAGACTGTAAACAAACAAACAAATAAACAAAAAACCATATTGTTGAGAAAGAGGGGGGTTGGGACAGAGACCCAAAGCCCATCTGTCCCAGCCCATCTGGGACATCCCCTCACAGAGGGGTCACAGGGAAGGGATGAGTCAACCAGGGGCAGTAAAGCACCGATGAAACACATAATATTCCTCTGGTTCTTTGAGTCTCCTCACCCCCCCCACTCTCATGACCCCAGTACCGCCTTTCTCTGCGGGCTAGACCACAGCATGTGCACAGGTACAGCTAAGAGATAAGAGCCCATGACACACAGAATCCAGGAACAGAAATGGGAGTAGCAATACCAGAAGGGTAGGAGGAAAGTGGGGAGTGGAGGGGAGGAAGGGGGAACCGATTACAATGATCAACACATAACCACACACACCCCATTCCAGGGGGACGAACAACATAAACCGCAGGGGGAGACAGTGGTCAGTGTAAAAAATAATAATAATTTATCAAGGGGTCACAAGGGTGGGGATGGGGAGGGAGCGAAAAAGAGGAGCTGATACCAAGGGTTCAATAGAAAGTAAGTGTCGAGAACATAATGATGGCCACATATGTACAAATGTGCTTGATGCAATTGATGTATGGATTGTTCTAAGAGTTGTAAGAGCCCCCAATAAAATGATCTTTAAATTTAAAAAATATATATGAAAAGAATAAAAAAGTCTCTAGCTTAAGCTAGTTCTTTAATTTATAGCAAATGTTACCCCCCAGTGCCTGGGTTTCTTGCAATAATTGCAAGTGCTGGTTTAGTACTTCCAAAAGGCCTTCAACGCATCCTGCTGGTTAGAAGACTTCGATTGTACTTATGAAACCTTTAACTTATTTGTCTTAGAGGTTTATTTAGACTCCAAGCCTGAGAAATTTCACGAGCTAAATTGGCCAGCTCAGCAACAGGACCTACTTTCCGATCTAGCTGATGTCTTTTTACGAGGGCTTAACGTTCAGGATTTAGGCTAGGTGCGAACACTACATTAAAAGCTCTTGTCGCACTGGGGGATGTTGGGCAACTCCCAGACTGTTCAGCAAACCTTTTAAATAATCTAGTCTGGTAATCAGACACACTCTCACCGGTATTTTGTACGCAAGAGTGAATAATTTTTCCTAATCTATTGCGGAGGAAATGCCTTTAGAATAGCTTCTAGCCATCTTTGACTGATAACCTTTGAATCTTCCAGCTCAGGTCTACAGCTAAACAATCATTGGGATTTTTCCATTCAGTCTGTGCTAGTTACAATTAGAATTCACCAGCTCAGGGTATCATGTGAATTAGTTGATACAAATCAGGTATTGCAACAAAAACTTGTAAGAATCCTCCCACAGTTTTGGAAGCTCTGGAGCACTTTTGTGTGATTTTAAGTACATCCAAAAGTAATACAGGGAGGAGCCTCAGCGTCTGCACTGGGATGTGATTTTAAGGCAGTTCAGGACTAGGTTTTGTTTTTTCTGTAGGTCCTTTGGGGGAAAGGGAACATCCAGACAAAATATTAGTGGAACCACCTTTAGTAGCAGCAGAAGCCAGGGGGTAGAGAAGGATACAAACCAGAGGCCGCCAGCAAGTAGGAGATGATCATAGGACAGCTTGAGTCGGAACACAAATCTGGAAATGCAATTCCTTCTTTAGGTAGTTAACTTTGAAACATTTTCCCTGTGGAGAAGCTGTTTTATTCTTATCACATCTTCTAGAAGTTTCAAAACTCCATTAAAATAAAAAAAAGTATCCCTTTGCTTCTCTTTAGTTGGGGAGCCTTTCTTTTCTAACTGGCTGCAAGCAAATGTTTAATTTAAGTCGATCAAAAGAGCCAGAGAATGACCACTCGTTTCCCAGCTTGTCCTCAGCAAGAAAAGACCAAATAGAAAGGTACCCAGAGGTAGCAGAACCACAGTGTTTGTCCAGATAGCAAGCAGGAGTCTCAGAAGGGAGTTCCCCATTTCCCTGAGATACAGCATCCCATCTTCAGAGAATGGTCTTGTGAGGTTTTGCGAGTGGGAAATACCTCGGTTCTTCACACCAGAAAGAATTCACGCCGAAGCCCATTTGTAATCCAAGTGGGTTTTTATGAAGGACGGAACAAGCTTCAGGTTTACCGTCTCAAACGCGTACACTCTATTGCAGGGAATAGCCATGAGGCAGTTCACAACGGGGCCACGAGCACCTCATGGAATAGTGGACCCGCACCTGTGGGCCTGAGGCCAGAGAGGACGTGGGGTGGCATGGCCCGAGCGGGTGCTGGGGGGAGAGTAAGTGAGAAGAGAGTGTCCCCCTCTGACCAGCCACTGACCAGCAGCAGGGTAAGAGACAGGCCAGCCTTCCGGGCCTAGTTTGGGCTGCCCAGGTGTACCTCCCAGCTGGCAGGGGGCTGGAATTGGAGCATGCTCAGTTAAGAGATCGTTACAGGTGTTTAATGCTTGCCTGATTTCCTCCCCCACCTCCTCCAGGGGAACTGTGCAGGCATGGGAGGGACAGCGCCCTCTCCCTGTCTCTAGCTGCCTAACAGTAGTAGTCGTAGCAGTCACAGTGGTCATAGTAGTACTAGTGTGAGGTTCTGAGAAATGTCTTATCCTAGACGTTTTTGAGTTTGTGGAATCTCCGGCTCTACCCCCCATAAAGAAATGCCGAGTTCAGGGCAATCTGAATGGTGACCAGTCATAAGATACAGTTCCAGAACTCCAGAAGTAAGAGACTGTCCACGGGACACAATAGACTATGAGACAATGTCTTAACTAGGCACACGTTGGGGTAAGCAGGACACACTGTCGAAACCCTGTGGCAATCTCCAGTAGCATTTTGTTGAGTTTCTGTACGTATGGATTGTGACAAGAGTTGTATGAGCCCCCAATAAAGTGATTAAAAAAAAAAAAGAATTTTGTTGAGTTTCAGAGTCCTAAACTTTGAACAAACTCAGACTGTTAGGTAGCTAGATCAGGGACAAAAGGGGTGGGGGGTGCCCCTCCCATGCCTGTACAGCCCCCCTAGAGGAGGTTGGAAAGGAGTCAGGTGAACATTAGACACCCATTAAGAGTGGGCGACCAGATTTTAACATTGGTAAAGCGGGACACCATTGATAAAACTCATATCCTGGCGAAATAGCCACATGGCAGCTGAAAACCGTATACCCTAGCTTTTCATGCGTTCTTTCCAAAAATCGAGACTTTTTTAAAACACCGCGGGATGCGGGACAAATTGTTAAAAATCGGGACTGTCCTGCTGAAAGTGGGACGTCTGGTCACCTTGATAAGACCCCCAAACTGGGCATGCTCAAATTCAGGCCCCAAGGCAGATGGGAGGTATACCTGGCTGGCCCAAGCTAGGCCCAGGCTCATGACCCCACCCAGGTGGGCTTAATACAGTCAATTGGGTCAACCAATACCTTCAACCACCCCACCCCACCCCCACCAGCCAGAGGTTTGAAATACCCTGGCAGAGGGCAGGCTGGCCCTTCTTGCCAGTTCCTGGAGCCTCCATATGTAAACTCTGCGACTCACTTTGGTGAGTCCTTACAGAGTCCGCCCAACTCTAGACTGCTTTCTTCTTTCAATAAACTTTTACTTGGATTTTTGACAGAAATTCCAGTTTGCTCCTTGACATTTCTTGATGTCAGAAGTTCCGAGAGGCAGAAGACCTAGTGTTCTGGCTGTTTGAAGTTCATCTATTCCGCAGATTCTCAAGATTGCTTGGAATGAGCCTCTCTCAAATCTGAGCTCTGCCTTCTTGCATTGAGCACTTTGAGAGGGATGGAAGGATTCTAGTTTTATTGTGTCCCATCTGTGTCCATTTGTTTTGCCTGTTTTCATTTTTATCTTGCAAAAACTGTGGTCAAATTTTGCTTCTGCTAGTAGTGTGAGGTTTCTCGAGTGCGTAAGACTGATGGGTGAGTATTTTCAAAATCACACTTTAAGAGAAACAAGGCAATAGCAAGACTCTTTAAACATTATTTTGCTAATCACATGGTTTGAGTCATTTGGAATTCAGGACAGATGATCCCTTCAGGACCAGTGATGAGAGTGGGCGATACCGGGAGGGTGGAGGGAAGTTGGGGTAGAAAGGGGAACCGATGACAAGGATCTACATATAACTCCTCCCTGGGGGATGGACAACAGAAAAGTGGGTGGAAGGAAACATTGGACAGTGTAGATATGACAAAATAATAATAACTTATAAATTATCAAGGGTTCATGAGGAGGGGGAGCGGGGAGGGAGGTGGGGGACATAAGCTGATACCAAGGGGTCAAGTAGAAAGCAAATGTTTGGAGAATGATGATGGCAACAAATGTACAGATGTGCTTGACACAATGGATGTAGGTATGGATTGTGATAAGAGTTGTATGAGCTCCCAATAAAATGATTTTTAAAAAAGTTTGAGTCATTTAATAGCTTCGTCTATGGCTATTTCCAGGGCCAGCCTGAATGAATGCTCTTCTTGGGAGTGTGCTGTGTGAGAGGGAGGAAGAAGGGTATTTTCAGGTCTCCTGAAGTATGTTGACAAGCTGACTTTTGAAAGTCAGCTGAAAATAAGCAGTAAACAGGAGGGGGTGGGGTGGAGTCTGACCTACAGCTTTGGCAGAAGCCTCTCCTATACCAAGCACCCAGTTCTTTTGCATTTCTTTACAAGAGGATCAGGAATTCCCAGGCATCAGAAGTTCTGTGGAGAAGAATAACTGCTAGAATCATGTGGGAACTTTGGGGAATAACAGAAATATTCTATGTCATGATTCTGATAGTGGTAGCACCTCTATGAAGATTTGTCAACATTTCTTGAATTGGTAGTCACTATCTAGGCTTTTAGAATCCAGTTTCTGATTTGCTGGGGACATGGCCATAACACATTTCCCAGTAGGTTTTTGTGGTTTTGCTACCTTGCTAACATTCAACAGATTGGGGACATCGATGACCGAGATCTGCACTAATAGGAATATTCAAGCTGCACATTTTCTATAAGCTTTATCATTATACTCAGTACAATTTTGTCGTGCTCATTTTTCTTTTCTTTTTAATAATCATTTTATTAGGGGCTCATACAACTCATCACAATCTGTACATACGTCATCTGTGTCCAG